ATTTGTAGTCTAAGATTTGCTTCACCATTTGATTGTAATATTTTTATTACTGTATTGGAAATACTTAGAGTGGGCTGTTCTTTTACAAGAAAAGTTAGTGAAACAAAAGTGAAAGTTTTGCCAGGTATGGTGGTGCACGCCTGTAATCCCAGCACTCGGGAGGCTGAGGCAGGAGGATCATTGTGAGTTCGAGACCAGCATGGGTTACAAAGTGAGTTCAAGGCCAGCCTGAACTGCATAGTGAGACCCTGTCTCAAAAAGACACACACACAAAAAAGAGAAAGTTTTATTTCTGTTCTCTGCATGAAATGTTTGCATGATTATAACCTTAAGTAAATACAGTTAATATCATAATCATTTCTCTCTAAAATAAAGATTTTGTAAGACAGGAAATATCAGTGCATATATAATATTTACTTTTGACCATGACCATGTTTTTACGTATATTTACCTCGTTTCATTCCTGTAAGTGATCTGTATTAGGCTGCTCTGGCTGCCGTAACAAAAGACCACCAAGTGAACTGCCTAAGCAGCTCAGATCAGTTTCTCAAAGTGTGAGGGAGAAATCCAAGATTAGGGCACAATACGGCTGACGTCTCATGAAGGCCCGTGGGTTTGCAGATGAATGCTCTCTCTCCGTGTTCTCAGAAGCCCCTCTTTGTGTAAGTGTGAGTGTTCTGCTCTCTCTTAGGGAAGCTACATGGACCTTCATCCTACAAGATCAGGGCTGACCTTTAGGACTTCATTTATCTAGCTTCTTTAGAGGCACCATCTCTAAATTAGCCACACTGGAGGTGCCTTGAACTTGTGAATTCAAGGCAACAAACATTCAGTCCATAGCACTTGCCAAGTTATGATCAGACACAGTTTACACAAGAAGCAGCTGAGGCTTGGGTGATTTGGCTGCCTTTCCCTGCTGGCCAGTGTTAGGGTTAGGGCTCAAACCCAACGGTCTTCCGGCACCCCCAGCACCCTTTCCTGCTGGTCGAGTGTCTGCAGTGGAGTAGCGATACACTGTGGTATGGATGAGACGTGGGAAGGACGTCTTAGAAGATTCACATTTCTACTTAAATCCTTAGCTGGAGAGTGTATGAAATTGCTCTAAAGATATCAATCACCTTTTGTAAGTTTTCTGTGTCCCGTTTCTGCTGATCAGTTTTAATTCAGCCTCCCTCAAAGCAGTGGAGCCAGTACAAGCTTCCCTAGCCCACTTTCCCTGTACTGACTCAGCGTCTCTGTGGACGGGGCAGGAAAGACTGCGTCTTCGGTGCTCCGCACATGACCCGCGTGCCTTCTTAAGTGTGGGACTCACTGCTTCTCACAGCAGCCTCCAGCTGAGGGTAGGAGACATAGTTGAAGGTGACTCATGTTTGGGTGAGGCGTGGATTCTGCTGAAGTTTCTCGCTCCATGCAAACACCAAGCCCGTCGAGGAGTTCTCCAAGGCAAATCTTTCTGCTTTTAGGTACCGTGTGTATATTGCTAGTGTGTCCCTCATGTCTCTTTGTCTGATTGTCTTGGATGCTTTCCCGGTTTTGTATGTGGGCTCCATTTCATGGCTGCCAACTCAACTCGCCCATGGTCTTTGCTCCCCCAACAAGGGCCCATCTTTCTGAACAGCACCAAATGCCCTCTTGCCTCATCCCGCATGCAGAGGTCACACATTGTTTGCACAGGACAGGTTTCCTCGCCCTGTTCTTTGTGACTTTGCTATCCCTGTGACCTGGAGAGTGGGAATTCACTCACAGGCTTTCATGGGAGGGGCTCTGGCAGGCCGACCTGACTTGACACTGATGGGATGTTACCCTGGGGTCTTCCACTGTGTCAAGTGCTCACCTAAAGTTGTGCTCCAAACCATGCTCCATAGTGAGTTTTGATTGTAAGGGAAGATTTGTCTCTATCTTGGTAATAAACAGTGTAGATTTAGCACAGAAAAGGTTTGGGAAATAAAAGAAGCTAATCTTCCCTAGTTTAATCTCCAAATTTATTGGATCAAAATATTTTCTGCATAGTTGTACTGATAGTCTGATAACTTAAGTTTTCATTTGCATACTTTAGGAGGACTGTACTACACTTGCATGTGCTTGTTCACTGGTTTACACTTAATTTCCTAAAGGGCTTCTTTAAAATCCAATAGAGCTCACTTCAGGCGGGGGTGTGTATGGTCTGCAGGCACCTCTGTCAAACTTTGGCACAGAATTAAGAGAGCAAGTACAGGGCAAGGAGAACCTACCCTGGGGCACATGAAGGCGAGGAGAGCATGCTGGCATGGAAGGGTTAGAGTTGAAATTGGGGCTGTAACTGGGGTAATTGTGGATGTTCTGAGCTAACCCTAATATACTTCAGAAGGAACACATGTGTGGAGTGTGTAAAAGAATAAATAAGGTGACAAAAGGCAAGAAGACTGTGAAGGTAGGTGACTTGGAGAGTCTATGTTCATTATAATATTTTTAAATACTAGCTCTACCTAAAAGAATGAGAATTGAGATGTTGCTACAGTGTAAAGGCGTGTGCATGCATGTGCATATGTGTCTGCCCATCTGTCTACTACCTGACTGTCTGAAGAGGTCTTTAAATTACTAACCCTCACGTTTTCAGGGCTGTACCCTCGAGCTCTGATGTTGATGACATAAGTCAGTCCTTTCTCAAGCTCTTTAAATTTGTGAAGTTGCTGCACAGGAGAAAGCCGGATGTCCTGCTGTGGGCAAAGAAGTGAGCACTGCCATAAATTAGAACGTGTGGAGCTTTTATTTTTACTTTTCCTTTCAAGTCTATCATTATTATTAGTATTCTCAGAACCGCATTCTCTGAAGACGGCCTTTGCAACTTCCTGTCAAGTGTTTTAAGGGGAAAAATTCTTTAATAAATTGAGTAAAAGCAAGGGCAGAGAACTCGGATTTTATCGCCTTTTCATTCTTTCATTAGCATAAATATAACATAATAGAAAACTTCACACGTGCCTTAGTTACAACTATAATGATTGCATCCTTTATAGAAAAAGGGACTTTTCTGAAGTAGATGGAAAAGAATATATCCCAAGAATTCTTCGTCACATTTTAGTTTGAAATCACAAACTATCCATAGAATGGGTGCCTTTAGGCAAAAAAAAACCTTAGTTACATATATTCACATTCTATCTAAAACTTCATTGGAAACTGAGCAATTAAAATTACTAAATAGTTCTCATGTCACATGGCAGAGCCGTGTATTGCAGCGTTTGAAGGCCCGATTCTAACTTAAATTTCAGCTTGGCACAGTCACGACTGTGAGACTGTGTTCTTGGATCCTTTTCCTTCCCATTTGTGTTCTTTTCCTGTGTTCCTGTACAAACCCCCACACGGTCGCAGAGTTCATCAAAACCCGCCCAAAGGAGCACGAGCAGATGGCAGAGTGCATGCGTGTTAACCACTGACAAGGCCGACCACTTTCCAGAAGTTCACTGGATTGTACCCATGTTAGCCCAAGTGAAACAAATTATCTGTGTAAAATTTCTCTCTCAGTGTTTAGGAGAAGTCAGCCTGCAGTACTTTGCTGCAGTCAGCCTGACCGCCTCACCAGAGCTGATTGCTAAAGTTTTAGGAATGTTAGTGAGCTGCCTGTTAATCATAGATGTTATTAAATATAAAAGTATAGATGTTGGGGACCAGGGATATAGCTCAGCGGCACAAGCGCCTACCTTGCAAGTGCAAGGTCCTGAGTTTGATTCCGGTACCAAAAAAAAAAAAAAGTATAGATTTCTGTTTGTTAATATGTTTTTTTTCTTTTATTTTTTAAAATAAAAAAATAAAAGTATGAAAACCTAAATAAAATAAAACAAAAAAAAATATAAAAGTAATACAGTTAAGGAATTCATAATGAAAATGAAATTAGACTAAAACGTTTTCTCATCCTAATTATGTTACTACATTTTAATGCTCTCTTTAGTGGGTGTTTTTGTCTGTTCTGTCAGTGTGGTGTCGATTGGCATCTCATGTCCCAGCTCCACTGAAGTGACATCATAGTGTCAGCTTAAAACTGGCCATCACATACGTATTTCTGTTCTGAGAATGAGCAGAAACTGCAGATAAAAAGCTTGATTTGTTGCTTTGCTCATTGTCTTGCAAAAACTTAAAATGTGCCCAAGCTATAGGTTATACATTTTGAAATAGCACAAAAATTGAGGAGGTACTTTCTTAATATTCAAAAACTATTCTCCAGTTCACCAAAACGGTCATGGCGTTGTGACACACATTTCACCTTTCTAGTATTTCTGAAAGTAGGGGGAGCACTGATTCACAGTGGGAATCCTTGCTCATCCATTGTAGCCATAGGCTTACTATAAGGGATCCTTTCGTGTGTCCAGTAGCCTGCACCACAGGACTTAGGTATGTAGTCCAACACTACTCTGAACATTTCGGGTAAGACATTTCAAAGTTGAGATTAACATTTACATCAGTAAACTGAGTAAAACATTATCTTCTAGTGGGTGAGTGGGTGATTGGGTGAGTGGGTGAGTGGGTGAGTGGGCCTTCTGTAGTCAGTGGAAATCCTTCCTTGTTCCCTTTCTCTTACACACACACACACACACGCCTGTGCACACGCAGAATGAGTTGTGTGCACATACTGTTGGCTCTGTTTCTCTGGAGAAGCCCAAGCCGTACAACTACTAACCCAGGACTTTGGTAAAAGCCAACGAAAATATTGTATGTGAATCAGTTCCTTGTATAGAATTTGTAATAAATGTTGTTGTATATTTTATGACTATTTGTGAATTGTGTGCGTTGCATTCTTCACATCAGTAACATTCAACATAATCTTATGTATGTATGTATATGCACATACTTTTCTTTCTCAGAGTGTGATATCATAACCTTGCACTTGCATTATTTTTGGATTGTCTGTGTGTGTGTGAAATTGCTTAAAAGTTCTGAGGTGCTTAATTTTCACATTTTCCTAAGGGTTCATCAAACATATTTAATATAGAGAAAGAAAACAAAGCATCCTTATCCATTATCAACATTAATTGAAAGGCAGATAATGAATTTTTATTTTCCAAATGCTAGTATTAAATGCTGTGTATCTTTCAATGCAGAACTCCAAAAGTAATTAACTGTGGTTCAACAGAATACTATTTCCATAAACAATGCGATTGATGTATTTCCACTGTGAAGGCAAGGTTCACGTGTGAATAACTGCAGGTGTTCAGTTCTCAAGGCTTCTGAAAACACTTGAATATTGAAACCTACATGCTATTTTATCTCCTGAAGGAAGATATAGTTTGAGTGGATTCCACCCTTGTTTGAAGTACGTGGTTTCATAATGGCCCAGCATTTCAAATTCAAGATTTAATAATTTCTCACCTGCCAGATCATCACATGGTCTTTCATAGGAAGATGTGGTAGTGTGCTCATTTCAGCAGCAGCCATGAATAATGTGGTCTTACACCATTGATATTGATGGAGATCCTGGTGAGCCCAGCCTCTAGCAAAAGAAAAAGAAAGAAGGATCCTGCCTGGACTGAATATATTTTTGCTCTTGCAAAAGTCAGGAGAATATTAACTTTAATTTATTCAGTTGCATAGTTTTTCAACTTGCAGCGTTACAGAATGTGGAAAATAAAATCAAAAGTATAGATATGCAAAATAGCAGCAAGCCCTTTGTAGAGCAGTCCCTTCCCGAATGTCCAGTCATTGATTTTCTTTCCGTGCCCTGACTCGGCAATGAACATGAAGGACAGACAAGATCAATATGAAGTAAAATTTGCATTGGGGTTGTTCTCTGTGATACAAATTTTATACCTGTGCAGAGTGTATAGAAGCATCTTTGCAGAGCAAAGACCCATCCATTGAGTCAGTGGCAACAACAACAGGGAGAGATTAAGTACGTTGTCTCTGGAAGGAGAGGCAAATGACTGGAGTCCTGGTTTTTAATTGGTACTTCATCGCACTGGCAGGTTTCTAATTGGACTGAGTTCTGGAGCACATTCTTACCTGCATGCGCATCTGAAGCCCATACCCAGCTTCCGGGCCACTTCATGGTTGTGTATAGCTCTTTGAACACAGTATTTACATCGCTCTTATTTCATTTTCCAGGGCACCTAACCTCGGATACAGGATAGGCAGGTGGCAGCCACCATTCCGTTTTGCGTGTGAAATACCTGGCATAGAGGGATAGAGCGGCAGGTCTAAAATCAAGGTTCTTGTGACCTCACAATTTCACCTGTGACCACTCTCTCCACATCATTGTTTCCCTAGATACATCCCAATCAAGAGTAAGGAGCGTGACTTCCATTCTTTAATCTCCATGTCATAATCTTCTTATAATCTCCACTCTGTAATCTCCATTTACATTTTGGCTTTGTGTGTTCAGTTGTGACACATTCAGATAGAATCAACAACTTCGGTTTCACTTACCCTCTTTGTCTATCAAGATGACCCAATAAACCAAAGCAAGTACTTAGTCAGTCCATATCACCATGCAAGTAATCATCCATAGAAGTACATGTACATTTACCTCCACACAAATAGCTGCATATATTGCACCAGTAAATGGTGTTCAAGAGCACTAGGGATCTTGTCCACTTCTGTCACCCAGGAGTTGGAATGCAACCAGGAGCACTGTGTTTACATGAAGGAACAGCTGAAGATTTCCTCCATGGTACTAGGACTTACTCACAGCTGAGGATGGAAATAACTGAATTCCAAGGCAAGGAAACAAAAAAATCACTGTTTGAGTGGAGAAGTGAGAGAGCACAAGAAGGAATCCAAAAGAGGAGAGGAGAGCTCGGTATCACCAGGACTTCTAAAAGTCAGCCGATGTAGATGCGCTAAGAAGGGCAGTCCTTGGCCACGTGTGGAAGACATGAGGCAGCTACGAGCCGCGCTCCACTTTAGACAGCCTGTTTCCACCGCTGCAGGGCTGTAATTTATAATTTCTTCTTACATTCAGATAAAATTCTGCCTTCTTATAACTTTCACCTAATTCTGTGATTCTAGAATTTTTTTTCTGGCTCTGTAAATGACCAGCAAATGGTCAGTGTACTAATAGGGTCTCCCCTTCAGTGACAAAGTCAATATTTACTGAGTATCCATGAAGCACTAGGCATTATGCCGCGTGTGGCATGCCTAGCACCTTTTCCAAGAGACAGTCTTTCAAACACTGGCAGTCGGGTAGCTTCACACTTGTGTGTTTTGTCCTCCATTCTCAGATGGCATAATTCCATGAATTTCTCTGTTCTAGGGTTATTTCCCTTTTTTGCTTGTATGTAGTTGTCAGATAAGAAGGAACACATGACCACTGGATGTGTTTATAAAAAGGGAATTTATTATATCATTACTTGTGGCTTCCTACAGAAGTGTGCACATGTGTGATTCTGGCATTATAATTTTGCAGCCATTATTCTTTCATTTTTGTTTTAAAATTTGCCTGTCAATGGAGGCTACTTCTACCAGCTCTCTGTAGCCATGCCTGCTGCAGCCGCAGATTCACCCCTTTGAAGACCTGAAATGGTGGAAAACTTTTGTCTGCACTGACATGTATGGACTTTTTTCTCATTTCTCCATAAACAATGCAGTATAACAACCACTTAGATAGAATTTACATTGCATTAATTATGGCAAGTAATCCAGAGATGACAGAGCATGTGGGAGGGTGTGCATAAGTTACGTGTGGTATCCCACCTTGTGTGGAGGGGCCATGAGCATTTGCAGGTATGGTGCTCTGCAGGTGTGGGGTCCTGGCACTGGTCTCCCATGGAAGCGAGGGAATAGCTAGCTGTAGCTGGTGCAGTTTTCTGTGCTTTTGTTTCAAGGTGTACGGCTGTTACTCTGTGCCATTCGCTCATCTTGGGGACTCGATCTTTCAGTCTTCATTGGTCACCTGTCTAAATGTTTCTTCTTTTTAATGAGGATGAATTTACATAGCAACTTAATTCCTTTTTATTTTTAAGAGAGTGCTTATTCACTAACCTAAATATTCTTTCTGGATAGGCAATTTATTTCAACGGTTAAAGTTCCTAAATTCCTTTTCCTTTGAGCAGCATTTCATTTGAAATGATGCCGTGTACAGTCTAAGAATGAAATCTCTATGGAAATGAGAATGGAAGAGCTGCAGAGAGGCTGTGAAAATCCTCACATGGATTTAGTCTCATTTATGAAATGTGTGCTGTTGGGGAATGAACTGTTTTGCATACAAGAATGTTGTTGGGTTTTATCAACTTCTTTGTGCCTATTGACTCTTGTAGAACTCTATCCAGACCTAAAAGTCACATAGATATTAAATTTTATACTGCTATTAAAGCTCCTTATAATTTTTCAGCATTCTCTTTTTGATTGCCTAGTTCTAGCATTTCTCGGCATACATTTTTTTTTTTTCAGTTTGGAGGCAGGAAAGAGGAACCCAAATTTTATTGTACTAATTTTTAATATCCTTTCACGACTGGTAGATGCATCCCTTAAAAAACTATCTGTAACCCAAAGGAAAGAATTTGGTAAGGCAGGTAACATGTTGACCATCAATATCAAGAGTCTTCTAAAATACAAGCCATGTTTTAATGCTTTAAATAAGGACCTGATATTAGTTATAGTTTTGAGTACAGTATTTAAAATTTTCTTGTCAAAGACTTTTCCTTTCACTTAGCCCTGAATCGGAGAAATGTACTTGGTCATTATTTGGGTCACTGGACGATCCTGCCACTTGTCTGACTGTGAGCGTCCGCAGCTGACTGCCAGGATCCCATACAAATCCAGCTGGGTCCGGCAGTGCCAGCAAGTCCATTTCTCAGTTCAGGGGTGTAGGCAACCACTTTATATATTAACCTTGGATATTTGCATGCAGAATGTCAGGACAAGTGCTGAATTCACTGAGTGAATTAGGGTTACTTTGTTTTTTTGTGTGTTTGCTTGATTTTATGTGTTTATTTTTTGTAGTCTAAGTTGACAGTACATAGTCATCACAGTCATGGTGGGGAGTTGGTTCACATGCGTGACATCTTCACCCTTTTTATGCCCCTTTTTCTTCCTCTCCCCTCCCTCCATCTTTTGGTCCCCTTTCCTGCTGCAAAAGATCGCCCTGTTTCCTATTATCTGTCTTTTAATTTGCTTTTTGACTTATTTATATTTTGGGTTTCTAATGTAAGAGAAACTGTGCAATACTTAAGCTTATGTGTCTGATTTATTTCACTTAACTTTATGGCCTCAAGTCCCTGATTATTGTGAGCCTTGGAGTCTTCTATAAAGAAGACTCTATAGTGGGGTCAGAAACTTACAAAATAAGAAGTTCCATGCTCACAAAATGACACTATTCTGTGGAACCCGAATTCCGCTTCAGGACTTACATTTCGCCGTAAGGAGTTTTGTTTGTAAACTGGAGCTTCAGCACCTCAAGAATGAGAGTGGAATTAAGAAGCCCTGGGTCCCTCAGTTAAGCTTTCTGTGTTTCTCTGTCTTCCTCTGTACAATAAGTGGGCTGGACCCAGTGATGTGTAAAGACCCTTTCTCATCTATAATTTCATGTTATCGTCTTAACTTCATATAGGATTTATTTCTTGGATAAAAGAACAAAATGACAGAAATGCTTTTTCTCTTCTACATACTTCAATAACTTATTAAACTAGGAGGTAATGTATTATACTTGAGGATCATTATCTGGCTATACTCAAAGTGTGGAGATATATATATATATGTGAATATTTGATTCTGAAAAAATACTTTTAATATTATTTTAAAATTGAAAATTGTAGGTAATGATAAAAGAAAAAAGTCATATATGAACCAGAATATAAAATTCCAACTACTTTTTTCCAGAATGTAATTTTCTTGGATTATCTAATTATTTGTCCAAGTGACTATCTTTTTCATCACAGATGCTATGGTGCCCTTAAAATACTAATTTTCCTGATAAATGTAACATACGTATGTTAACTGAGTGAGTGATTTAATTTGTGGAAGAAAGAAGTCAATTAACTTGCTTTTTAAAAAAATTATCAACGCTAAGATTGAATATAAAACAATGTGTTGAAATAATTTATATTCAAGAAAAGGACTCTGGGGTCCAATCCAACGTGAAAAGGCACAGGATCCAGAAACACCAGCAGAATTTTAGAAATGTCCCAGAGCTGTAAGATAGAGTAGATTTGACTAGAACTGTTTTCAATTTGCGCTCGCCTTTCGGGCGTCTGTTCAAACCTGCTTGTGAACAGCCTTGCGGTGATGTGGAAGGGGGTTTACTTTTTGTTTCTTAGCTGTGGGAAGCTTCTTGTCTATGCGCATGACACCTCTGTTTTGCTATATATTACACTGCAAGTGGTCCTCTGTAAATTAAAAAACAAGCCATGAAGAGGAACCGCAAACTGCTACAGCCTGCTTGGTTAGTGTTGCGTATGAAGTACTTCAGAGATTATTACCGACGGTGCCAGGAACTGCGCTCTCACACCGTGAGCTCCTCAGAAGTCCCCCACTGATCTCTCAGTTTTTGTCCCCTTCCCCGTTCCTTCTTTTTGCCTCTCCTCCGTGCACTGGCATTTCGTCTGACGCAGTCTGTCCAGGCTGCTCTAACAAACTGTCGTAACTTGGGTAGCTTGTGTAACAGCGCAAGTTTATTTCTCACAGTTCTGGAGGTCAAGTACAAGACCCAGGTACTGGCATTTTTGATATTTGGTGAGCACCCACCTTTTGGTTCACAAGTGATGCCTGTGCAGTGTGTCCTCCTGTGGTAGAAGGGACCAGATGGCTCCTTGCGCAGTCTCTTTGGCTCTGATCCATTCACACGGGTTCCAATCCCGTAACGTAACCCCCTCTGCGGTCCCCTCAAGCCCATCATATTAGTGAGTGGGTTTCCACACATACTGGGGGGAGAGCACACAGACAGTCAAAGGGTAGCCTCATCGTTCTTGTTGCCTCTTTCTGCCCTCTTATCTGCTCAGGTACACTCACGGTTATAGCTCCAGTGGCGTGGATCTCCAGCTACACGTACCTGGGCATACACAGGAATATATTGACATTTGCTTCCTGGACATTTCTACCCAAATGATCCACATTTATCTTTAAGCACACTATCTTAAACCTCACTTTTCACTTTCCTGTATTTCTACAGCAGCGTTCGTTATCTCAATTTTTTCAACCAAAACTTTGCAGTATTTTTACCATTTCCCTCTTGCCCACCTTCCACCCAA